AACCGAACTGATCGAACCCTTGTGTGTTGCCTATACTGATGTGCAATTAATACATTGCCATTAAAATAATTAGTGGCCAATAATTATGCGAAGACAAGTTTTAAACATTCGAAGAAGCACATTTCTAGATACTCTGCTACCTCGACCTCTTTGCATTTTGTTATATTATATTATAATATATAATATATATTATATATATTATATTATATTATATTATATATATATGTAATGACATCAATTATGTCATATTTAGCTTCATAAATCCTTGAAGAAAGCAATGATTTGTAAGCGAAGAAAGCTTCATCCTTAATAAAGACATCGATCCCCTGTGGCATTGACTGAGTAACACACTGCCAGTAGTTATTGTAATGTAGCTTGAATGTTCTTACACGATTGGAATGAGGGGGAGAATTGGTGGAAAACACTGAGTAACGTATGAAAAACATGCCGCTATGAGTCTTATCATCATGAACGTGCGGGTACAAGTATAGGTGATGCACAGAGATCGACTGGACCGACTGTCTATCCTTAATCTATTCATGATCCTCATCTCTTTCCCACTCTCCCACTGACTGACTCACTCAACTCACTCACTCACTCACCCACCCACTCACTCACTCGATCACTCACTCACTGACAAGATATCTGTGTAATGACGGATATAAGCACTCGCGTATCACGAGAAACTAAAGACATGTGGATGCATAAACACGGAGACCACCCATTGGGATAGGATTAGTAAGTAGTCGGGAGGTATGCGAGATAGGCACATCTATAGGTCTCCATTCACAATTGCGCTACGTAAATTGCAAATACTGGCGCAGTTACTATCGGCCCGCTCGTGTTCCCGTACAGATATGTCATTACATAGTCACTGTGTGTAATAAAGGTATCGTGGCGCACTAGTTGCATGCCCAGGGGCAGCACCAAGAGGGGCTCTGCTACACTCAAACTAGGCCTTACCTCGTTGGTGAAAAAAATTATATTAATGAAAAGAAACGGTTCAAGCTTTAGATAGCCGTTGTTGCCCCCCCCCCCCCGACTTGCAATGTGAGTTCACCCATCTCCCCCCCCCCTGCCAAAGACCTTTGTCCCCGTCTGGCAATCCCTACAAACTTCAGCTGATGTCACTGTATACCACAGTCATCGCAATAGCCATTTGTTTCACTTGCATGGGCGGCCGCTTGTGATGTTAGTTGAGGGCGATGATCGGACTAGGAACACGTAAGGTGTTACTAACGTGGCCTGGATCGCTTCTAGTAACTAAAACAGCTAACCAAATTAACCCCTGACTCAATTAATCCAATTTAGACCAATCAGAGCACGCCATTGCACAGCAGCAGGCAATGCATCTTCTACTCTTTCATCGCATTTATTCTACAAGCCGCACACGAAAATGCCGCGCTAGGGAAAATATTTATTGGCTTTTTAGCTCATCTGACGAAGTCAGATGCAGCTTGTAGAATCGCACGATCGTCCGTCCGTCCGTGCGTGCGTCCGGCCGTCCGTCCGTCCGTCCGTGCGTGCGTCAACAGTTGGGCACAAATCTTAACCGCGCTGCTCGATCGTACGCGCGTCACGGATCATTCGGGACCGTCGGTGGAGTGATCGTTCAAAGACGCAGGTTGGGATGTGCGGAAGCTGGGGGGTCGAATGGTCAAAAGCGTCATAGAGGTGTAAGAAACATGAGGGAACATTCCCTCCTTAACTTTAAGGTTCTTTTACATAGGTAGGCGAAATGCCAGCGTAAGTTGCGGGCAAGCAAATCTAACACGGCCGTCGACCTAGGCCTCGTGCCATAGTCGGTGTATAGTCATGCATGCGTACGGGATAAATGCCCATCACTGGTGCCAGGAATTGGATGGGCGGTCACAAGCGTCAACAAGGTTTCAATGGGCACAGGGCAGCCATTTTATGGACAATACTTCTCTCCGCCGCAGCGCGCCATGCGTATCTCGCCTGATTCCGTTCCGGGGCGGCGCGGACTACAGCCGAGCGATTTGAAAAACTTTTTTTGTTTCAGCGGTGACAAGCATTTTTATGGCTTTATTGACGCAATGGGCACCATGAAATCGTACCATTTGCCTGACATCGACGAGCAGTAGAGTGCTCGGATAACCTTTTGACCTCAAGGTAGGAGGTCGTTTCAAAACTATGTGATTTGTTTACTGTCTGTTAGAAGGAATTTGGACTGGGCGCCGACGTTTCGCTCCATGTACGAATCTATACATGCGGCTGGATCGGTATGGCGAGGCGTGACAATGTTCACGAGTAGAAATTTCAAAAGGGCTAAATCTCTGGATTGAAGGGTTTCGATGGCTCCCTTAAAATCGTACAGATTTTCTATGGCTGATTCATGTACTGTCCAGTATGTTAACTGTAAACTAATGCCACTGGCCTCAGTGCCATGCCGTGCATGCGGGTAGTTGGTTGGTTCGGGTACTGCTTGTAGGTTTTTGCCTGCATTTAATTTGGTAGACAGGCTGGCAGCCCTCTAATC